TAGGCACAGTGCCAGCTTTGAGGAAGGGGGTTGGGAGCATGGTGAATGCGGGCTTTCTCCCGGCCTCAGGCCTCTGGGCCTCTGAGAGGGAGGGGAAACCGCTGACAGAGAAGGGAAAGGATGAGGGGGTGGGGGAAGGCGGGAGGGAGGGGACAGGAGGAGAGAGTCTGGTTGCTCTGGGAGACTGGAAGGACAGGGTCTGAGCTGGCTCTAAAGGCAGGATTCCCAAGAGCCTAGCAGGCAGGCCCCAACTACAGATGAGCTCAGGAAATGGCTCAAAATCAGTCAGATAATCAATACGTTGGCAACTTCTAACTCAGGATCAGCTCATCTTCATACCTCAGAGCTGCAAAGTCTGTCAGAGGGTCGTCTAGAATCTGCATGGCCCTGGACGCAGTCCTGAGGCCTTGACCCATTCTGCCCAATGTCCAGGCACTAGCTTAACATCAGCTCCCTGGGAAATTTCCTGGACACCTTTCTCTCGTCTAGCTGGACAAGATGGCATTTCCCTAAAATCCAAGAATACTTTGCCATCTTACTCATGGCTTATAGTGACTGAAAAATGAAGCCAGCATCCCACTCCCCTCTTTCCCAATGCCTTGTTATCTCCTTCAGGGCAGAGGCTGGTTCATCTACCTTAAACATGGTTTTGGAGAACTGTGGTCCCAAACCTGGTTGCCCATAACAATTGTTGGGAGGATGGTTAAAATATTTTAACTCCATGGGCAGTCACAGCAGCAAACAGCAGTAACAGTAATGTGCTACTTGCTGCTCCAGGAAAGCTGGATTCACAAAGATTGGGGTTTGGTTCCCCAGTTGATCTGTACAAGCCAGATGGACATGCCCATGGTCCTGGCTGGCTGGGAAAGCTGGGGTGATGGGAACCATGGCATGAGACCCTTGAGGGTGCTGGTCTTTCTTTGAATAAAAGAAACTTTAAAAAATGTTTCTGGGCCAGCAGGTGGCGTGGAAGTTAAGGTGCTGGATCCTACATGACCCACTCCACAGTTCGAGTCCCAGACGTGGTTAAGATCATGCTGAACTCATGTGGGTGTGTGCCCAAATCCTGAGAAGAAAATGGGTAAGGGACTGTAACGTGGCCATGTCCCCCGGGGAAGAATTTTCATTTTTTCTCTCTCTAGCAAGCACTCATGCCCTATGAGAACAAACAAAAAGCAAAAACTATAAAAAAATAAATAATTTTTCTTTCACTCCAGTGGTCCTGATTCTTTAGAACTAGGTTAGGGCTTAAAACAAGGGTTTTTTAAAATTATTTAATTTTATTTATTCAATCATTTATTTTAATTTGACCAGAGAGAGGGAAAGTGAGAAAGCAAGCTACCAGGTTTGGGACTCAAACCATGGTAGGCCATGTGGGAGTGTCCAGCCCCTTAACCACCATGCCACCTGCTGGTCCCCTACAACAAGGTTTAAAATGGGGCAGGCTGGTGGCATGGTGGTTAAGGGTGCTGGACTCCCACATGGCTGACCACAGTTTGAATCTCATTTTGACCCAGTAGCTTTCTCACTTTCCCCCTCTCTCACTCTGTCCCTCTCTGGTCAAATGAAAATGAACAAATAAATAAATAAAAGTTAAAGAAAATAATTTAAAAACAAAAACACCACCACGGTTTAACAGAGCGCTAAGTGAATGCAATGCACTGAGTTTAGTCAACAGCTCCAGAGGGCTGGTACAGACGGCAGGTGCTAAGTGTTGCCTGCAGGGGCCAGAAGTATTTGCAGGGTAAACACTGGCCTGGTGGAAAGTATGGATTAAACTGGTCTGTGTAACTGGACATCTAACACCCTGAAAGGAACAGAGCACCAGTGTTAGCAATACAAAAGATAAATATTTATTCAGAACAAAACTTTTAACAATCGGTTTTACATTCTAAGCCACAAGGAAATAGCAAAACATACTGCAAAGGAAAGACAAAAACAAAAAGAAAAGCAGTGTACTGTCTCTGCTACTTTTAACTTGATAACACTTGGTCGACCCATGTTCTCTCGCTTGGCCTACTGCCCAAGTACACTTGTGGGTTGACAACTCCCTCATAATTCCAGGTTAAAACTGCTTTTCTCCTGAGAGCTGGGATGCTGTAGATAAGCTCTGGCGAGCCTTCTCTAGGGTTCCTAGCTATTGAGGCTAAGGTGCACATGTCAGCCTTTGGTAGGTTACTTTACTCAGGGTCACTCTCATCTCTCACTGCTGGTAATGAACCGTGAAAAGTAAGGCTTCCAAAGGACCCAGCACACTTCAGTCCAGAAGTGGTACCCCAGAGAGCAATGAGTGCACCTTGGAGTTTGCTCCTTGGTCCCTTCCCTCTCTCCCAGTATTCAGAAGCCCCTGCTAAACCATCTCTTTCCGTAAACTGTACCCCCCCCCCAACCCCAGCACTCCTGTGTGCTCATCATTCTGGAGAGATCAGACTTTCTGGGCCCTCAAGTGTTGAGGAAATTGTTGTGAAGTGTGAGAGGTAGTGGGATGAGCACCGGGCTTGGGGCCAGGGACCTCTACTACAGGCGAGCTCTGGCACCAGACAGCTGTGTGATTTTGACCCAGTCCTGTAACCTTCCTGGGCCAGTTTCATCTGCTGGAAAACCAGAGCAATAGTCTAAACCAATTCTCAGGTCCTTCCAAGCAGGAAAATGCTAGATTCCATGATTCTATGGAAAAATGGCTTCTGAGCCACAAAAAGCTGTCCCAAAGTCCATGCATTTTTATGCCATAAGAGAGGCCCTCCGCCACCGTTCAGAGCTTATTGATTCAGATTATATACACTTCTAACAACACTGGTTTCACAAATTTTCAGACCACATAGATTAGAAGCAGCAAAATTAAAAGGGGAAGGGAAAG